GACAAATGCAGATTTTCGCGACAATATAAAAACATGAAAGTTTTTGAAATATATGCAATTCGGTGCGAAATTCTGAAGGAAAATTCTGAAATTGGGAACCCATTTTTCGAGTATTTTGATGCCATGATAGAGCCATGGCTCTGAGAAATCGATGTACTGCTCTCGTTCTGGATTGATTGTGAGCGCTCCAACGGCCAAATCTGCCTCATCGATATCCAACTCTCCAACCATTCCGCTTAGCACGTAGCCATTCTCGCCCAACAACACCGCACCGTAACTATCGTTCAGATGCAGAGCAAATGTGAAACCCGTATCAACGCTTCCGTTGACCTGAAGTCAAATTCAAAACTCTCAAAAGATCTGAATCGAAACATCCATTGATGAACGTATGCAAAAGATCAAATGCAGAACGTCAGGTGAGCATTCTCATATGTCCACTTCTTAAACCATCAATTCAGTTAACCTCAGGTAGAGCCAGATTCGCCAGTAATTCAATCGCATAGCCAGCACAGCAGAACATTTCCGTCGTGCTGTCGTTNAGGACATGCGAACCATGGTCCTTCCTTAAAAATCCAAAATCAATACAGTTATCGTATCAAATGGAACATCTTTCGAGGTAAGTTTGGATTTCTGAATATACTTTTCACTGTGTTCTGATGCATTTCAATTATATTTCTCTCCTTCATATTATTATTGTTGATATGAAAGCATCTGTGTAACGTTTCATTACATATTTTAATGAATTTAGTCCTTGAGAGTAAGTTTTCGTTTGATTCATGCTTATTTTCATATTCCAGCTGTTTCTAACCGTACCCTAGTTCTTTTAGCTATTATTTGATGTCAAAGCAGTAGATGAGATGCTATTCTCATATCTGTACTAACTCATGGAATTTCCTGAACCGAACTGATCTTCTTGTTTCCTAAATCAATCCGGAAATTGACGGGAAATTATGTGACGGGAATCGTAAAGATATCTACTTTCTGGAGAGATGGGATGATCCAGGAACGATAGCAGTAGCACTAACTACGTTAATACCATCAACAATGAAGCTTTGCATTTGATAGCATCTCGCCGAATCGACAGTTGGGACGGTGTAAACGAATGGCTGGTCGGATACGGTAACGGCACGGAGATGCTTTGGCAGTGTTATCTCAAGTGGCTTCGTTCGTGTACCACCCAACCACACTATTTTCGTCTCGTTGATTTCGATGCGTTGTTGGGTGCCACTCTGAAGTGAATTCAATTCGAACAATTCCATCGAATTGCATTGACTCAATAAAAAATTTATATTGTATCTTGAATTTGAAGATAATTGTGAGAACTGCCTCGACTTTGAATCACAAATCACGATTTAGAATTTCACTGATGCAGGCATCTTTCCTTTATGCTACTCAAATACTCACCATATGACCGATCACCTGTAGTTTACCATCAATCGAATTCGTAATATCGTAATCAGTTTTGATACGATCACCCTTATCGTTGAACTGAATTGGCGTATCATCGAAAACTGTGTTTGTTATTAGCTGCCTGAAATCCGCGCAAATTCGTTTCGGAACCTATCCATACAAATAAAAAAACGAATCACCGAACTGTAACGTTATTTCGACAATGCAATCTCAGTGATTGAATAATATGTATGCAGGAAATGAAAAGAAATTTTTCTTGGACAAAGTTGGTGCATGACAAGAGTGAATGACCCAGAAACACGGTCACTAACCGGTAAAGTTTATTGCCCAGTGTATTTGTCCACTCACTATTCACCATATTACCGGAGCATTGTTTCGGTGGGTCTATATCGTAATCGGTGAGCATACCGATACCATTACGTATTATCATCATTGCATCACGCAATGCCGATAGAGCATTTTGACGTAGTCGCACTGAGAGGCAACCTGAAATTAATTACAGTTCCATTAATTTGCTAACCTGAAATATTGACAGCTCCAAGAGAGCAGTTAAGGTGATACCGAAGCCGACAAAGAAGTGGCGTTGAACTAACCTGTTGGTAAGTGACTAGCCAGGGATGCTTGTTCGCTGAGTATGCAGACTTTACCAGACATTGAGAAAATCGGCACGTTCTGGATGATCATCTCAGCATGATCAGTACTAAAACATGGAGTTATGAGCTTGCAAATTAACAAATAATTTCCGAATGAATGAATATGATGAGAACGAATGGTGAATATTGAAAGAGAATGAAAAGAGCTACGAAAAAACGAACTCAGCAAAGAGAATGATTATGTTCGATGTAACTTCCTCAAAATTTTCCTCCACTGACTCGTTCAGCTGTGCCGTTAGATCAAGTTCAATGTACCTTTGCACCTGAAATAAAGAATATCTACTTGCATTTACACTTATAACACCATTACATTGCAGTGCGCATCAAACCTCGAAGCACATCCATGGAAACACAACTATAGACCGTTTTACACACTGTAAGGCGATGAAATGCACCATATTAAAAATAACACTGTACTCGGATATGCCCGTTAACATAGCAACTTCCTCACATCACTAGATTTATCAGATTCTCTATTTTCAGAAATGTGCATATGTTGTCGGGGAATTTTGCTTACTTGAACAGATGTACCTGATTTTCCGAACCTACTTCAAGTAACCCGACAGCGCTCGTTTCAAAGCAATACATCAACATCGATCAATGTGTATATCACCACTAGGGTGACCATCTTCAAGGCAACCATACCCTAAGGTTTGCCCAGTAATATACGCGTTTCCTTGCAACATTCGATTGCTCAGAATCTTTACATTCAGAATATCATATATCTAGCCGAGCAATTACGATTAGTTCAGGACATATAACCATGTTCTCAATGCTACAGGGGTTACCATCTTCAAGCTTTGTGCGGTAAGATATGAATTTCTGTAAACCATTCGATCCAGCTGGATCTCCTCATTCAGAAAAACATATATGTTGCTGAGCGATTATGCTTTCCTGAGGAGATATAGCCATTTTCTTATATCTATCTCAATCAGATAGCGCAGTCGCGCTCGTTCATACAAATTGATCA